TAATGGAGTAAACTTTCATTCTGATTTTAAAAAATAATTCTTATGTTAAAAGATTATTGTTAGTCAATCATATAACATTATATTTATAAAAATTATAAATAAATAAAACATTCAGCAATCATAGTTGTCTACAGGAAGAGCTACAATAAAGATTTTAAAAAAAAACAGAAAGAAAAAAAAAAGTCTCAGATGAAGATAACATACCAAAGATATGCACTGAGAGTTGGAGGAAATATCTTGTGTGCACTCCAACATTTTGATGAGACAATATTGTATTAAGATATGAGAAATTGCTTTGACATAAAAAGAACTACACTAAAGACCTAATTCAAACCAACGACCATTCATTTTTTTTTTGGTCAAGCCAACGACCATTCATTCCACTAAAATAAATTTATTATTTATTATTTAACTCCTTACCTTAGGTAGCTTTCACACTTTTTTTGGGTGTGCTTTTGTTTCCCACGCTCAGCGCTTTCACGCTTTCTTTGGGAGCACTTTCCTTCCACCTTCTTCCTACTTCTCACAACTCGCAGACTCCACACCAACCACGTCCCCTCCTTTTTCACTTCATACCTCCTATCCTCCTCCCATGAGTGCTGCTATTGCTTGGGTTTATATAACCCATGTCAAAACAGCAACAAAAATCACACTCAACTCAAACACCTAATTCAAACCACCACAATAATTATTACCCTCGATTCTAACATTTTCTCGATTTTTCTCATCTAAACTTAAAACAAACTGAAAATCTAATAATGTTTTCTCATCCAAACTAGAATATGAAGAAACAAGAGTTTCTCATCCATTTTATTTTGAAATCCTAATAAGAAGAAGTTAACTTTTATAAACTCTTTGTCATGATTCTTTGACTATTAATTTCTCTAAGAAGAAAACAAAGAATTAATTCAAAAAATGGTGAATGCAGAGTCTAGGGCAACAACCAATTGAACATATGACAACATTATCATATATCAAATTGAATACTTGGGATATATAAGCCAAAATCTACATCACTGTCATTGAACATAAGAGTATTAAGTACCCAAAAAAAAATTTCCCGGATTCATAGAAGAGTCAAATTCTCAAAATACAAAAGGCAAAAGTTCTAGTCATTGGCATGTTCAGACACTACAAGAAAAATACCCTACGACAACATGTTATTAACAACGTGCGTAAGTTACGTGTTGTGGAAGTAAACGTTCCACAATGTGCGCTGAATGCACGTTGTCAAAATGGTATTTCGGGGATGGTAGCGAACCTGCCGTGCCTCAATAGGGTTGGCAGGCAATATTTAGTGTTGTAGGAACTAGATTATGGGATCCATCCATGAAGGGCTATGGTCAATTGTACAAATGACTGGCGTTTGGTTGTGGGCCTATCCAGGAGTTCCACATGGATGTTACGGCCGATGCCTTGTTCCAGTGCCGAAGCTAACCTTAACAAGGCATCAGCATGGCTGTTTTCAGATCGTGGGATTTGGCTAATGCAATAAGCATTGAAAGTTTTTAGCAGCTGGTGGGTATGCTGAAGGTATGACTTCATGGAGGTGTCCTTGGCAAATGATTGACTTGGTGGACGACGAGCTGGGAGTCACTGAATATCTGAATCTATTTAGCATCCATCTTTTTGGCAAGCCAAAGTCTAGCTAAGAGTGCTTCGTATTCTGCTACATTGTTGGAGGTCTGGAAGTTAAAGCAGAGGGCATACTCCAGGACAACCTTGTCTAGGGAAGTGAGGACTAAGCATGCACCACAATCCTGGGAATTGGAGGATCCATCTATGTGGAGTGTCCATAGGGTCTTGCTGAGGTCGAAGTTGTCCTCGCCGATGAGGTGGACAAAGGTCGGTGGGTGAGTAGGTTCAGCGATGATACATGGAGTGGTTGAAGGTTGGGGTTCAGTAAATTAGGAGAGAAAATCGACAACAACTTGTCCTTTGGTGGTCGGTCGCGGCCTATAGTGAATATCAAACTCCCTGAGCTCGATGGCCCACTTAATCAGCCTGCCATATGTCTCTAGCTTCTGCAATACTTGTCTCAGAGGCTGATTAGTAAGGGTATGGATGGTGTGGGCTTGGAAGTAGGGTCGAAGATGTCTGGCTGAAAAGACCAAAGCGAAGGCAATGTTTTTCTATGTCTAACTATCGAGCTTCGGCATCATCATTTGACCGAATTAACACTGAGCAAACTACAGGGGCAAAGACCAAAAGGTAGATCATGAGGGTTTCACTAGGCTCAGGTGTTGACAAGAGAGGTGCCTTGCTTATATATTCCTTGAGCTCGATGAAAGCTTTATCGCATTCGGGAGTTGCCCTTGAGGGCCTTAAAGAAGGATGCACAACGGTAGCCTTAGAGATGAACCTAGTCAGGGCCGCGACACGTCAAATAAGGCTCTGGATATCCTTGACTGTTTTAGGCACCTTCATGTCTAAGATGGCTTGAATTTTTTCAGGGTTGGCCTCAATACCTCTCTAATTGATCATGAAACCAAGGAACTTTCCTGAGGCCACGCCGAAGGCACACTTCATTGGATTGAGTCACGTGTTGTGTTGCTTCAGTATGGCGAACATAGTTGATAGGTTAGGGATATGTTGATCGGTGGTGCTTAGAAATCTGTATGATTTACTCTAATTCGTTTATTAGGGTTTAGGTTTGAATTGTAATTTGGGAATTACAATTCTTGGGAATTTTTTTTGAATTGTAATTTGAATTGTGGTTCTTGACCTTCTAATTGTTTCGGTTTCAAGAAAAAAAGGAGATATAATTTTCAATAGACTCGGTGTTACATAACTTTTCTGGGATGTGGATTTGGATTTGGTGTTCTTGTTTTTCAAATATATGTACAGTAAAAACAAGAATTTGAATTTAAGATTCAGATGGTACCCATTAGAATTGAAAATGATGGTGAATGGTGATGAGGGATACATATTAGCGATGCAAATAAATAAGAATTTGGTGTTTTTTTTCCATTGCCATTTGAGGTTCGTAGTTTTCTAAGATCTTGGATTCTGGATAGTATTTCTTTCACTTCAGTTTAAGTGTTCAATTAGTTTTAGAATTCTGGATATATATCTAAGGCCACATCTTTTGTGGAAGTTGGTGATGTGAAGGATTGTTCTAAGTGTTTTTATTTTCCTTTGTTTCTGCAGTTAGCAAAGTGGGTACAGAAAGCAACAATGGCATCACAAGTTGGTCGTGTGATTCATGATCAGAATCTTAATGCTCAATCTAATGGTACTTCTCAAGCCTACCAATTATTTTCTTTTTTGCCTAAAATTCTTGTTGGGCTATTTTGGTGTAACCCTTATAACATGTACCACAGGTGCTTCTGTTGTGGGAAAGGCTGATGCAGTTGAAACACAAAGGAAAGGGGGCCTTGGTGGAAGGAAACCGCTTGGTGATTTATCCAATTCTGGGAAGCCTGCACTCAATCAGGTATCGAAAAAGCAGCATTCCAAGAATTTTGCCACAGGAGCTTCTATTGTGGGAAAGGGTGATGTTTTAAAAACACAAATGAGAGGGCTTGGTGGAAGGAAACCCCTTGGTGACATATCGAATTCGGGGAAGCCTGTTCTCTCCCAGGCATCAAAAAAGCAGCCTTCCAAGAATTTTCCTGTCGTTGAGGAAGTGACCAGCCTTCCTAAAATAGTTCATGACGCAAGCACTAGGAAAGGTGTTTTTAAAGCCTCAGAGAAAGTGCAGGCTTGTAGCAGGAATACGCTATCTCACATTTCAAACTCAGTGAAACCAAATCTGCAGAAGAACCACAGCATGAAACTAAATGTTATGGCAGAAGAACCCCTTTGTCCTAGTGCTATTGCAGAGGAAGGGTTTCCTATACACAATCATCAAGAACGCATCAAAGCACAAAACAAGGCCATGGACTTGGATCAACTTCTGATTAATTTCAGTGAACTCAAGGCAAGTCTGCATTCCCTTTTTCTTCCTTTTCTGAAGTTATTTTGTCGGTTTGGATTTCCTAACAATGCGGTTTTTTCGTCTTTGTTTTCGGCCGGAGAGTCCCTTGAGGTGCAAGAATTTGGAAGAGATGTCTGAAAAGCTTGACTCTCCACCTTCTGTATTTGAATCACCAAAATACTACACTCCATATGAGGATTTTGATGAGCTCTCTGACAAGCTTGACTATCCACCAATTGACTATACTGATTTCCCTTGGATTTCAGAGGACTGTGATTTCAAGTTGATGTCACCAAATCACTGATTCCCTTGAATTTTAATGCACAGAACTGCTTGTTCCAAAACTCCATTGTAATGAACTGTAGAGTATGAATGTTCTCACTCTTTTGTTCAACTCACATAGTGTCATATTATTGATTAATGAACTGATTTGTTTGATATTTTCGCATCCTAAGCCTTCTGCTTACATGAATTTTGAAATTGCTATGTATTGTCTTCTATATCTATATATATAAAGCAAAAGACAGAGAATGATAAAACATTCAAAATACAATAAAATGCACAGGTTAATGCAAACATTAAGAATTGAAATTATTAATTAAATGAGGATAATATGATAAATTCACACTTTTTCATATTAAAAAATATATATCATTAAAAGAAAAATTAGATAATGAATTCTATTTTTATGGAACACAACTACTCATTATCTTTTTTAATTCTAAAATAAATTTAATTTTTTTTAAAAAAAGCCTCTCGCATGCGCGGAAGCTCGTGCGAAGAAGCTAGTTATATATAAAATGTCAATTAGATCCTTATACGTAATTAAAACATATATATCTATATATAGTAAAATTGCTGATATATTTCCTAACAGCAAATAGTACTGTAGGTAAACATCTAACAATTTATGCTTATTAAAAAAAATAGTAACCGTTGATCTGATCTAAAGGAGCTTTGATGTATCCATACTAATAAAGTATCTTAGAATTTCCCTTACCATACAGTACAATATCTGTTTAATTATAAATAAAATATAAAAAAGCCGACATTCAAAAGTCCCATTTTAGGTTTAAATAAAAAAGACTTGAAAATATCCTCACAAACCTATAAATACCAAATCCAATCCCAAGAGAATTCCCCCTGAGAATTGAGACTCAATCATTTCATCATCCGCAATCACAAAATGGAACAGATGTTTGACAAATTTTTTGACTCCGTCGCTAACCTTTTCGGCGGCGGAGATTCGATCCCCTGGTGCGACCGCGACGTCATCCACGTAAGTGCACACTACAAACCCCCAATGCTCATTTTCTGTTTGTTTCCCGAGAAAATGAAGAACCCTGAAGGAAAAACGAAACAGAGATCTGGGTTCCTCTTTGTTCCTCCAATCCAATTTGGTTTGGTTTTTGTTTGCTTGAATTAAAGACACTTGAGTGTTTGTGAATTGTGGGTCAGGGGTGCGAGAAAGAAGTTGCAGAGGCCAACAAGGGTGACTCAGATGAGCTGAAGAGCGAAAGCATAATGAGGTTATCGTGGGCACTTGTCCACTCAAAGCAACCAGAAGATGTGCAGCGTGGAATTGCCATGCTTGAAGGTATTATCATTATTCTTATTAATATTTCTAAACATTCAATGCTGCAAGTTTTTACTTTTTAGGTAGCATAAGCATATTGAACCATTGGTGTTGTCAATTCATTACACTTCTTTTTACATTTCCCTATCGTCTCGATTTTGATTCTGTACATGTCTTTTTCAACCATAGAATTCCTGATTATTTTCATGGGTTATTCATGATTTCTTTCATTATGAGTTTTAAATTTAATTAATCTTCTCTAATTGCTCGTCATGGTTTTAGTTATACAAAAAAATTCTGTGTAAAATGTAGGCCAATTTGGTAGCACTTTTGTTTTTATTTTTTTGATTAAAGAAAGAGGGGAGAGGGAGCTGAAAAGGAGAAGAGATATATCAAGGAGAAAGGAGGCTGAATTTATAAAATCTCACATCTCTAGTTTTTCTTCTATTTCTCCTTCTCTCCGTCTTCTAATATTAAAAAAAACAAGAAAATAAAAATAACATAATGTTGTTATTTTTATTTTCTTGTGTATTTTAATATAACATTATCAAATCTGCCGGCACTGATTCTTTATATTTTGCAATGGTTTGACAGCCTTTTTAGAATTTGTATGCCCAAAGACATTCAATCAATTCTAAGTTAATGGAACAATCATTTCTGTTGCTCCTTTGTATGGGGTATTAGACACTGCAGGAATAGGAAAGACTATTATGAGGGCTCACACTGCCATGAATCTTCCCTCTTTTCACCCTATTGCTCCTCTGTACAACAGTAGTGATGGTGTTTGTACACTTTCATAATGCATGCCATCTTTTTTCCTGATTCTCACCAACAAAATTATTCTCCCCAGAAATTCATTACAGTATCATTTTCTACTTCATTCTTTCATAAGAATTTGGAACTAGGCCCTGCATGCCACAAGAAAATTTATAAATTACAAAGATGCTGAGCCCTTCTGGATTTCTAGTAATGATTACTTTCGCTAAAAAACAAGGTCATCAATCTTATATTTAATTGGTTAGTCTTTTCCATATTAAAAAAGTTAAATTACTAAATACATTTTCTCTTGTATTGTGATTGTTTCTTGTTTTGCTTTTAACTGAAGAACTTTCGTTCTAGCATGTCGCTAATGCTTGAGTTTCCAATATTAGATACTGGCAGTGTAGGTTTGCATTCTCTAGTGGTATCTATAACCTAAAATTGTTCATTTAAAAATACTGAAGAATATCATTTTGTACAGCTTCATTGGCCAACACTGGCTCCCCTTTGCATCAGAGAGAGAAGCTTTACCTTCTGGCTGTTGGATACTACAGAACTGCTGAATATTCAAATAGTCGGCATCTTGTGGAGCAATGCTTAGAGGTTTGTTCTTATTTTTCGTTTCATTTGCACCTAATTTTCCAGCACCCTTTGGCGGCATTCATCTCTCTTTTCTGTGACATGTTCATGTGTCTCTTACATTTAGCATATGGTTGGCTGACCATCATTCAGTGAAAACCTGCCCCGAATAATACTATTTGTTTCATAGGATCTGTCATTTAAATGTTCAACAACACTTGACTCTTCTATATAGGTGGTAAGTTTAAAATGTGTCGTCCTTTTCTAAAATTTTGATTGCGTGCTGTGTGCTTTTGCATATATTGTATTAGCTGCTTTTCAGCATGGTGAAATTTACTTATAGTTAATTATCTAATTCTGTACTGTAACTATAATATCTGTGTGGACTTAACCTTTAGCTGCTCATCTTTTGTAGTATTGCAGACTAGACTACTATCTATCCTCCTTTTCACTATACAAATGAGTTGCCTTCAGCCTGTTGCTATTTTAATTTCTACAATTCCTACCAATGATTCGTCCTAATATTGTTTTAAAATTATTTTTTTAACCTTTTTTCTTTGTTTTGCAGATTGCTCCTGATTGGAGACAGGCTCTGACCCTTAAGAAGACTGTTGAGGATCGAATTGCTAAAGGTATTGAGTAGTTTTCTTTTTCTTCTGGTTTTGCCTGCACTGTAGCACTAAAATCAAGGAATTGTGAACACGTTGCTTGGAATGCAGATGGCTTAATTGGAATAGGCATTACTGCTAGTGCTGTTGGGCTTATAGCAGCTGGGATTGTAGCAGCGTTGGTTCGCAGGTGATGAGCACAAGCCAACAATGTTCATAATGAGTGGCTATTACTTACAAGTTTCAATTTTCCCCTGAAAAAAGAAGGTTCCGAATAATCAGACTGAGAATAGCTCAAAACAAATTCTGCAGCTTGACTACTTTTTTTTCTGAAAAAAAAAAAGAAAAAAAAAAAGCTTTTAAATTTGATATTTTTTGTGCAAATGAATAGGTTTTTCCCTCATATTATGTTGTTAATCAGTTGATAATGCTTAGCTTACAAATATTCTGCCATTATTTTGGCATATGTACCTTGCAAATATGTATGGAAAAATTGTGATTTTATGTTATGTTGTATATGTTGCCTTGTTGCTCCAATGTCTTTTGTACTCTTATTAGTTCACATATTGCCACTATACTTAATCATATCTTTGGCTTGGTTTGTGTCCAACTCAAGTTCATGTGGGTTGAAAGGGGCCTAAAACAGTTTAGGTGATTAGGTATCCACAAGCAACAAGATTTTAACCATTTTACTCGAGCTAAATTAGGTTGGAAAATTTTAACCCATCCCAATAATTAGTTGGTCGCAGTAAAAACCAAGGCACTTCTAGGCACCCTCTGCCATCCATTGCAGCAGAGCCGTTTCATGAGCAGGGGGTTATCTCCAACATTTCTCCCTTAATGATACTACAGAAAAATCGCATGGCAAAGGAGTTCATTGGATTAATGGTATAAGGGTTTCGTTTCATTACATTTCTCCCTTTAATTCATCTTATTTCTAATTATTTCTAATGGGCCAACGAAACTATCATAAAAAATAAAAATAAACATCTGAGAGGTCCTAGCTTTTATACAAACAGCCCTAGTCCTACAAGATCAACCAGCACACCACTAATACGAGGAGCTTCAATGCTCACCCAATAGGCGGGCCTGATCAATTCATGCGAAGAGCAACAACTTGAATGCAAGTGTAATTAACAGGTTTTTACACATACTACCAATGTGTCATTGGGGCTCGAACCGAGACAACTGGTCAAGGCTCTTTTCCATTGGGTATACTGTTGGCTTAACAGGTTTTTGATGAAGCTTAAACTTCAAATAATAAAAGGTGTAGAAATGATTGTCCACCTAAAGGATTTAAGGTAACAGATTTCCCTCACAGAAAGAGAAAGCAGGGCTCTTGCCACCAGAAAACATCACAAGGGTCATTGTAAAGTAAATCAAATGACTGATGACATGTTATATTGCAAAGTAGATCAAAATTTCCGTAGTTATATTAGGAAAACTTTATTAATAAAACCACAAAGGCAGGGCTCTTGCCACCAGAATACAAGAAACTTCCAAGGTTCTTACTTTTGAGAGCATATTAATAAAACTATATACAAGAAAGTTGTCCTTCAAATTTAACTCTATCTAAATAAAAATTTCAGTGTTAACCGATTAAAAACAAAAGTAGCAAAAATAATGTGACCACAACTTGTGCAACAATCATCGGATCAACAAAGAAACATTGACCAGTTACATTGACCAGTTTACCACTTGTCAAATTAACACAAAACTATATATATTTATACAGAGGCAATCATACAACAATACGTCTACTGGTGCATTACTTTGAAGTGGAAAGAGCTGTATGCAGTACATCTTCAAAATACTTTTCCGCAGCAGCATATTGCCTTTTCTTGTCCTCGATTGCTAAAGCAGCCAAAGCTTTATCCTGCACACATACATATCTGATAAACCTAACAATATTTGTAGGACCTAAACAAACTGTGATCAATTAACCAAAATAGGAAAGTACCGGAGGTAAATCTTGGTAGCTTCTCAAAGTATCAAGGACTGGCTTTGTCTTCTTCTCTAATTCCTTCCGTTCCTCAGCCAATCCAACCAACACCCCATGGCTAATATCTGGGGTGTAACCCACACGGTTAAGAGTGTCCTGTCCAACAAGTTTACACAACAACTCTTTGTCAAATTAAACACAGAAATGTAGGCTCTGCATAACCAAACAATATGGCTGATAAAATACATTCCTGTGACTTCAGTACGGAATTTCAATAAACTAGCCAAAAGAGACTGATGAACAATTATCACTCATTTTATACCATCCACCAAGAAAAAAATTTACTTTTCCTTATACAGGACACAAAATCATGGATTTCTTGCCACATTCTACCTCAAACTAAGGCAATCATCCAAGGATTAGAATACCTTGCTAAGCTGTGGCAGGTTAAAATCCCAAATTTCTTATCAATCATCACCATTCATAAAAAAACAATTCAATTAAAATTAAAAACCCCCATCTTTCTTTATGATCAAGGCAATTCTGATGCCCATTATTTCAATACCCTGATTATTCCTGTGTTCCAGCATTGTTGGACATGGGCTTGCATTCAGAAACCAACCATTATCCAACTTCATGCAACTTGAGCTTAATCAAAATTTATTTCCACAATTACACAGTTGGTAATTTTATAAGATCTTGGAATACGTATCACAATCTATGCACCATTGAAACACTTTTCTTTGTCCAACTCCCAATCATATTCTCTCACCTCATAGGACAATATAAATGGTGGTGGGGGGCATTCAGTTGTGTGTGTGTATTTAAACCACATCTGCAAAATGGTCCTAAAGTATAGAGCTCCATTTTAGATATATAACAGGTAATGCAATTTGGTCTATACAATTACTCATAGATACTGATGTTCAAGAAATCCACCCACGCATTTAAACAGGAGGAAAGAGGAATTGGACCGACAAAAGCAAGAAAAGAAAATAAATACCTTAAAGCGGACAGTTTCTTGGTTGTATTGTTTCTCCTTACCAAGCATCAGCGCCAAGTTGTTCTTCCAATGCTCAATGTGTGCCTCGCATTGACCTGCATCATCTTCTAGTTGGGCAAGTGTTCTGCATAAGTTTGAAAACTCAACACATTCAACAAATTCATACTCCTAACTTTTACAATTCTTGCAACAGATCCAACAAGATCTTACCTTTTCAAATAAGTTAACCTGGAAATCGCCTTTCGAGTATAATCAAGAAGTATATTGGACTCTTTTTGCGCTTTAGCTCTTTTCTCCTCCACACCCGTCTTCCTCAAAGATATATCCCCCATCGCCACAAGAAAACTAAAACCCAGATTTCTTATGTCAGTCCAGTATTCAAACAACAATGTAAAACCTAAATCTCTTATGTCAGATCAGCATTCAAAAAACAAAGTAAAACCCAAATTTCGTATCTCAGCCTAGTATTCAAACAACAATGTAAAACCCACATTTCTTGTGTCATCTCAGTATTCAAATAACAATGTAAAATCCACATTTCTTATCACAGTGTGAGCTCAATGAGTCAGTATTCAAAGTAAAACTTAAAACCCAGAATTCAAAAACGCACCTGCTTAGCTCAGTGTCTCTTATATTCAACAAATTGGCTACATTCGCTAAGACCTGAGCTGAAGACACCACGTTCGATGCCAAACCCTCTTTTGCCAAACCAACACTCTCCAATATCTCTCCGATCCTCGCAGCTAATACCCACAAAGAAAAAATCAAAATTTTGTTTGAAAAAATAGAAGATATATACAAAATATACAACATAAACAACACATATGGAGATACAAAGAGAACATGAACAAGAGATTTTTTGCGTTGGGTTAAAAGGGGAGACCTTGGGCTCGGTATTCGGAGGCTTTGAGGCGGAAATCAGAGGCGAGGATCTTGGAAGCTTGAGTTTGGGCTTGGGAGAGAGTGGCAAGGTTGTGTAAATATGCCACCGATCGAGGGGTATATTCGAAATCGGGCACTTCTTTTCCAGCTTGGGAGAACTCTTGAGTCAGCCATTGCTTTACCTCTCCGATTCGAGATGCGTCAGACCCGCCGCCGCCGCCGCTCTTCGACGTCGTTTCGTTTACCGTTGGATCGGTCATTGTGTGGAGGTGACCGCTGAGTCGACTCAGTGCACCGTTGGCTCCGTAGGTGGTTTTAGATTTTGATTTGAAATAAACTTAAAACTTTGACGCATACTCCCACTTTAACGGGAGCATTTCTTTACCACTTTAAACCATTTATATCATCACCACCTTACACGTGTCAATCAGCATAACTAATTATGATTTCACAAATATAAAGTAAACAATTAACTATAATTATGTTCATGAATACGTATCAAATATTGAGAAGAATATTGATAATACACCTTAAATTGCAAGAAAATAAATAAAAATGACGAGCAATAATATTTTCTATTTAAATAGATGTTTGGTTGTTCGACTGATAAATGCAAGAAAATAATGGATGTTTGGTTGCATGTTCAATAAATTTGATCAAAATAAATTACGTGAGGATCTTCAAATGATGGTGGTTGAATCTTCTAAAACCACCATTGAAGAAATCATGATTGAGTCTCCAAATTCACCCTTGAGTTACATGTCTTTTTAAGTAAGTAATTTATCTCTTGATTGGAGTCTTGCCAAGTACATTGAGGCATCATGACTAATATGATTAAATTAATGAAGGATAATGGTATGGTGAGCAAAATTGTCATGTTATGATAAAATAATTCATTTTGGATAAAAATTGCGATTATAAACTGGTGGTTTGAGGACTTATTAACATTAACCCAGAAGCTTTTCATGCAGGCCACTCAAAACAGGCCGGCTGCAGCCGAAAGAACCACACCTCCCATTTTGCTTACATAAGCATTTTGTTGCAAAACTTTTATTTAAAGCTAGACTCCATTCAAACTAGGCACCATATTGCTCTTGCTCAGTTCAGTGCCTGATGTTTTAGTGTCCATGAGTGAAATAATTTATGTTTTTTTATATCACGAATGGTCTGTGTATTATTCCAACAGCATCATTTTAGTCCTCATTCTTCAAATTCGATCAATGTCGTCACATTTGTGATAAAATGCGAATAATCTAGAACCAGACACTCAAACAAGCCCCTCACGTGAGCAATACTCAAGCATTCATCGAGCTAATGTTGAAACAAGAAATAAGTTCTTTTTTTTATAAGGAAAACAAGAAACAAAATGGAAGGGTATTCATCAAGGTTGCAGATACAAGAGGCCACAAACTAGAAACTAGAAACTAGAAACAAGAAAGGGCGTCATTCCTCAAAGGATATGATACAAATGAGTACCCAGAAGAAAAAGGCGTCACCAGATGC